AATTTCACATGAATAAGTAACAATAATATTGGGCAAAGTTTGGTAGGAAAAGGTATGGATGGATAGATATATATATATATATATATATTAATGAAGATAATATGGACTCTCTTGAATTGAGAGGAAATCAGAAAGGTAACACTAGAGATCAAGCTCACGTCTAACAATTCTCTAAACAAACCGACATACAAGGTAAGGTAAGAACAGTTCTAGTATTATTCGAGAGGCCACGACTTGTTTCAAATCACTCGAAATAATTCAATTTTGGGATATGAAGACGTAATTGAATCACTTAAAATTACACTTCAAAACAATGCACAAGCTTATAATAATAATCATGAGACCTTTTATAGATGACCAATGACAAATAGAACAAAAAAAAAATGTACTCCTAAATGAACTAAATCATATAGATTCTAATCAACCTTATTATTATAGTATTATTATCCCATAATTGATGGCAATCCCATAATTCTTTGTAATCCTATGATCTATGAAATTTCTTCAATTAGAGGTTGTGATTTATGGAAGGTCCAATGCCTTGTAAAGTGCGCCTTAGGGTCCTTGAGATTTATCACTACAAAAAATAGTATATTTCTAACGAAATTTTGTCCTTAAAGTTCAGGTAGCTAACGTAATTCTATTCCTAATTTCATCTTTAATATCATTAGTTAAAGAAAAGGTGAATTGGATGAAAAATCCTCGTTACAAAAATGATATTTTCTTATAGTGTATGGTCCAATTCTAGAAGAATGTATGACTTGTTAGTGACATCAATTTGAAGTTTGACACATTTTGTAATTGTCAATTAAAATTTGCGGGCTCGGTTCCTAGTGATTGGTTCAGGAGAAATTATGATTGAGTCTGATTCCATCGTGATGGCACATCAAGAGCACTTCTCTTGCGTGTCTATATCATGATCTTTGTTTAGTGATTATTTGAGCAAAAAAAAAAAAACTTAGTAGCCGTGCATATTGTTACATGTATATTTTTTTATAAATTGTTAGCATCTCAAATTTATTTAATAATATTATTTTTATTGTTTTAGTATTTTATTATTCTAGATTTGGGCATGGTCTCGATTATACATGTTGGCCCTTTGAATTAAATCAATAAACTCTATTGATGTCTATTCTCAAATGCTTGCTAATAGTGTAATGCTTCCCGATGCACCTTACGGATCTAAGTATTGTAATTCATACAAATATTATATATATTAATTAAATTATTTTGTATTTTAAATATAACCGATTACTTTTTATTATAGATGAGCTCAGGATAAACATGATTTTACTCGAACTGTTAATGGTTGTGTGGTTGCTATCCGTGATGTTCTTGATCATGAAGGAAATAGACAAGTATTTTAATTACATTTGAATATTTATATATTTTTATGCTACATTTTTTTAATATAAATATATTATATTTTTTGTGCAGTTTAATCCGTGGCCTTACGAGCCCAACGTATATGATAGTTAATCGTATGCTTATCCTTTAACTTTATTCCGTTACCAAAGAACTTTGCTATATGAACGGTGTATTGAATATCATTTCATAGATAGAGTGCATTCGGCAATTAGACGTAGTTCAACATATACCAGATAGCCCATAAGTGGTAGAAAATAGGAACACTATAGTTTTTCTCAAGGATCCGACACAAAAAAATTAGTTGAAAACTTATCAAATATATATTTAACAATGGAATCAACCTAATTTAGTGCATGGGCAGTCGGCCTTGCATGATATACCTCATACTCCGAAATATTTGCAATAGTATAAAACACATTAGAGACAGGTTATCAACAATCTGGAGTTGTGTACGTGGGCCAGTTATTCGACTAGTATACCATCTTACAATCATTTTGCAGTATTTTATTTTTTTTCTTCCTTGCATGTTTTAATTCATCCTTATTTTTTATTCATTGTGCACATCCTATTTGGTGTAGGTGAACCAATTTAGGCGTTGTACATAGGTAGAAGACCTCAATCTTGTCTAAAATATCATTGATGTTGCAGATGATCGAGGTAATTGGATAGTTGAGTCCTACGAAACTTCTTTCGTATATGGTGATTAGTCCCAACTAAGTCTTGAGTTGTATATTCCTGTTGATTCTATTGATGTACATGAGACTCGTGGCATATGTGAAAAATTCACCGTCACTGGCCTAAAGGGATGATAATATGCAATCACAGGAAGAAGAGGTCTATCATAATTCTTCCATTCTAATATTGGTGAAGTTTTCCAATCTATAAGTCAATCATCACAGCCCAAAACTCTAGGAATGCTTCATAGAAGTACTCGCCAAAGTCATCCTCCAGATTGTGGCACTGGTGGTCACAAAGGACATCGATGATGTAAGTATAATTTTATTGATTAGGTTATTTGCAAATATTTAATTAGTTCATCAATTAGTTGTTATATTTCTAATATATTGTTTTATATATATTGGCATAATGACATATGATGTGATAAAAAACGTCTGTTAGATATATTTAGTTTATGATATGATTTCATGGAATATTTAATTCCTTATAATAAAGCATACTCTATTTGAACTTTCAGGTAGTTCGATGAATGTAACACCATCCATTTGGACGAAGCTTTTTATATAGCTTTTGGCATTGCTCTATCGTGCTTACATGTTGATATTACTGCTGAACAAGTTTTTAATTTTCTGCGTTACTGCTCTATAGTTTTTGTTGATGCATGCCTTGTAAACAAAGTTTTCCATAGATGATGGAAAGAGAAAATATTATTAGCTAGACACCTAAACACCATTTGAACTCTTTAGTGGATGAGGAAAAATACATTCAACAAAATTCCGACACTAGTTAAAATTGAAGGGATTCATTCCAAAAGAAAAAGAAAAAGTGAAAAGAGTTCATGGCATATAATTTTGTTTCCTCAGTTATGCCCCGTAACATAAAAAATCAAGCATTATCATTTACAATTAATTATTCAAATCATAAACAAGGAGGATCTTATGATTTTTTTCTGTAATTTAAGATCTTGGGATACCTCTATTTTTCTTGCTTTAGCTTCAATAAAATCATTTGAATCCTACCTGCTTTATCATGTATTCATTAAACAAATAAAGATCCAAAATAAAAAATATTCCAACTACAATGATTAAACTTTGTCCAAATGAAAAATTATTCATAAAAAAATATTTCATCTAGTTTAAATATATATTTCATTACTAGTCAGTTAAAATATTAATAACTAGTACTTATGATTAAAAAAATCATAAATATATTTTTACCTTAATTTGCATGTGCTTATCGCCTTTCTTGTTTCTGGCCACGACATATAGTGCAATCACGTCCCCTTCTCTTAATTTTGTGTCACGTAGGGTTATGCACTAATTTAAATGAGGTTAGTTCCCGAAGTGACTTATTCAGATATGATGGAAAGGGACAATGTATGTGTTTATCCATGAATCAATTGAATAACAGTCACACACATATCGATTTCCATTCAAATGAAACAAATGGCATGTGTAAAAAATGTGTGAGCATCGGACCCCATTTAATGCCCATGGACCACATGAGAAAAAATTTCTCTTGATTGAAACAATATATTCATTTGATATCTAGCCAATACTGTTTAGTGTAAATACTTTTGCCTCATATTCATCCTCATTAATCACCACTACAATATTTTTCCGGCTCCTTTGCTTTGAGTCTATATATCTTGCCTGTGCCCATAGTGACCTCATAACTAGATTCCGGTTTATCTTGAGCATCATGTAACTACTTAACAAAAAATGAAACTACTCGATCATATGTCAACTATACTAGTGCAGTGATCTGTAGTCGTCATGCCTTTTTAATACACCATTAAGGCATTTTGACAAATTGGTTGTTAGTATACCATGTCGCCACCCTTCTTCATATGCAATGAGTCATTTGCTCTTGTCAATTTTGTTATGGCAATTATAAGCTGCTTGATTTAGAAGTTGGATTGCTGCCATTGTTTCATTAAACTCTAATGGATCAATTGATGTCCCTGCCCTCCAACACATATCCTTCATTCTAACATCCTTATCGTATTGGTTGAAGTTAGAACAAGTATATCTGAGGCAAAATCGATGTTAGACATGAGGAGAGTGGAAAGCAGGAATATGCTCAACTAGACTTGTTATCCAACATGTCTATCATATATGAGACGCGTGTAATGCCGATCTTGCAAAGTATATCTACATACAAAGTGCAAGAATTTATGTTATTAACAAATATTTCAAAATTTATGAATCATAAACTTATTAGAATATCATACCGTACTTACTAGAATTTATGTTATTAACAAATATTTCAAAATTTATGAATTATAAACTTATTAGAATATCATACCTACTTACTAATTGAAGAAACCATAACCAAGATTAGTACTCTCTATATCAACAACGGCAAATGTTAGCGGCATCACATGGTTGTTAGCATCAATAGTAGCAACAGTCAACATAACATGTTTGTATTTTGCATATAAATGAGTTTCATCTACACTAATCATATTACGAAAATGGCGATAAGCTTCAATGCAAGGTCCAAATGCCCAAAACACCTACTCAACATGTACTCTTCTTGATGTGTCATTTCTACATGTGATGACTCCACAATAGTATTTGATACATACTTTTGAAGTATTTCCATATAGGTTGGGAGTTCTTGTACTGAACTCTCTTATATCCTATAAATATCAATAGCCCCATGATTTTGAATAAGAAATATCAAACCCAAAATTCTATTTTCACCACTCTCTCAATACTTTCTGACTGATATGCTGGATATTCTTTACAAACTATTTCAATAAATTTGCTATCATGTTAACATATTTGTCCTAACAAAACTGAATAATTAGAATGAGATTTAACATTGTCTGATATTTATAAATTTAAATGTAAATTTAACAATGTTATCAAATACAATGTTTGAAAAAAATAAATAAATAACATCCCATGTTTGAACAATAACAATAATTAGTCAGGTGTAATTGAGTATCATTGATCCAAGGACCACTCCATGAATGCTAGAGCAAGGAGACAAGGTGAAGTCTCTTGCACCACCCACAGCACTGCTTGTCCGTACGACACGCACCCCGCAGACCCATTCCCGCTCGTCCGCGGCAGGATCGCGTATCCCTGCCATTTTCATTCATTCATTCGTCAATTAATTAATATTAGTTAATTCTAGAGGGAGATCTAGCAGTTATTACCTGCTGCATTACGGTCTGAAGGATCGAGAACAGCGACGACGACGAGGAGCCGTTAACACCAACGCCGACGCCGAGCAACGCCGGCAGATTGTCCGGCGCCACCGCGCACGTGCCCACCATGTGCATGGCTGCTCGGTTGGCGTACAAGCACGACGGAACGCACTCCCTGCTAAATATGTCCGAGAACGAGAAGCACAGTATTGCATGCTGCTGCTGCTCTATTATCTCCAATGCCGAATTACACGCGCCACCCCTATACGGAATCATCATCTCCACCCCGAATGTCGATCTGCTACACATATATATATATATATTAGATAATGTTAAATGATAAAAAAAAAAAAAAACAAGGGGTTTCTTACAACTTGCCTGTAACTTTGGTACATAATGTTTGCAAGATTCGCCGTCTGATCAGCCGCCGCCGCGGCGATTTGGCCGGCGACGGCGACGCCTGGATTAGCCGAATTAGCCTTCCATTCGCTCTCGCCGGTGAGTTTTTTTAGGGACATAACAACATGCTCGACGTACTTCTGAGCCATGGCTGCAACCTCCTCTTGCAGATGGGATTCAAAAGGGAATTGAAATGCCAAAACAACCAGTGAAGCTGCCGGAGCCAACGCGAAGATCCGAAAGCCGGAGGATAAGAGAACGGCATCCTTAGGCGTACTTCTGTCGATCGGCGCGAAGATTAGCTCGGCGCACGACCCGGCGCCGATGTCTTCCATCCCATTGATAATCTGCACACACATTGTTAGATAATGTATGATGTGCTAATGCAATAAAGATAATAAAAAAGCAAAAAAAATGGACAAATAAAGTTACGTGGTAAACCGAGTCCCTTATTAGGATTTTTAAAAAAATGCGAGCACTATGGAGCTATCCCATACGACTCAGCAATGTGGCACAAACATCGAAATATAGGCTTCAAGGCATCCCAACAATGTTAAATGATCATCTTATTTAAAAGCTTATGGTCGCCGCAACGATAAATGGAGACGGTGGGATTCAAACAACCTACGGCTCTGATACTATGTCAAATTATATTAAATGACCGATTCACCTAAAAACTTAAACTTACGCATCAATTATCTATTTATATTTTATGTAGAGTTGGCAAAAACTGACAAGACACGACAATCTGATACGAAATAATTGGGTTTAGGTCAAGGATTTCAACCCGATTATGTATACGAATTGATACGAACCCGACACGATAATAAACGGGTCAGTACAAACTCGACACAATAATAAATAAGTCAGGATAGAGTTGAGCGATTTAACTCGTTTAAAGTATTCAATCCATATCGACCCATTGTCAATTCTAATTTTATGGGAGTCGACCAACACATGAATCAATGTATGGATGAAGGTCGATTCGATGATATTTGTTGTGCCGATGTAGTAGTAGTCGAAATTTTTACCTGCAAATGGTACAAATCCCCCGGGAATGTGCTGTTGAGGCGATCGGAAGTGTGGCCGAATCGGATCACTTCGAATGCCTGAGACACGAGCAAAAATATCGCTACTTAGTCGAAGAAACCGGACTACTAAACAATAAGCTATTACAAAATTCCTACAAACCTCGTTCTCGCAGTCGGCGTGGCCTAATAGCGCAGAGGTTTCGGCGAAATGGCGAAGATTAGGCCCCGGATACGCAAAGCACGCCGCTTTAGAAAATGCCAAGGTATGATCGGAGAAGTTGAAGTCCATCCATGCCGAACGGCGCTCTTTCAGAGCCTTCACCATGCTTACAGGATCGACATTCTGTTGCAAAAAAAACAACACATAAAAGCGAATTCGTCGCAAAAATTTTGTCGCCGGATTTAATTACGACTCACTTGTAGTACTAACGATGTGTTGGCGCAGATTACGCTATCGAATCTCGCATAGACTCCTCCAGCAGCAGCGATGTTCCTCGTCTGCTGTTTAATGTACAAAACGATTTCGCCAGCGTTCATCGGAACCCACCCGTCTTCGGGAAAGCAATTCACTGCGTCGTCGAACCCCCTGCAAAGCCTTTGGCTGAACAATCTCAAGAAGCTCGGGTCGTGCCGACTGTTAGCTGCCATTCGCTTGTCGCTCCTTCCGTCGATCATGTGTTGAAAGTAGTGAAACGCCTTCGTCGATAATAAATACACAGGTTAACGACAACTTTCAAGCGCAATTCGTCGATAAATACTTACAAAAGAAGTTTACTTACAGCAACAACCATGTTCTTGGCGACGAGGCCGGATGACTCGTACAAGGGGCGAACAACTTCCGGCACAGACAATGCCTGCAATGGAAAAACGCATCGATTTAAATAATCAAGCCGCGGATTTAAAACTTTTCTCGACATGTATAGCGTTCGACATTACCTCTAACTGCAGATGGTGTATCAGATGTATCGTTGTTCCTCCTTCGACAGGGCGAACCAAGAAGCCGCTGGCAAGCATTTTTCCTCTTATCAGTTCTGCAGAGCCCGGGACACCATCGAAGCTGGAAATCGACTTTTCGCAGACCTTATAAAAATTAAAATATGTCGATAATCAGCACAATGCAACAACAGATTGATACAAAAAAACAGAGATTAAGTGATTATACCACAAAGCTTCCATCACTCAAAACAGAGGTGTATCGCAATGTCCAGAAGTCGCGAGCGCAGGCGACGATGGTGGGAGAGTAGTACTAAAAAGACGAGGCGACAAACATCAGAATCGAAAAGCAAGTTTTCAGACACACGAACAATCAATCGATCTTTTTTTTAGCTCACCTGCGTGTAGAGTAGCTCGATGGTCGCGCCATCGCTCAACGAATACAGAGCATTGACATTCATTGCACGGCAACAACAGCACCACGAGCACTTGTCTTTTAAGATTTCGATTACCTGCATTCGGACAAAAACACAACTCTTTTTTCACTTTCACCAAACTATAAACATTACACTGTCCTTTTCTTTCAAGATTGATTATCGAACTCGCCTTAAGCGGATCTACAGGTACTGTAACGCATCCCCGGGCTGCAACTGCGCCCTCGGCTGATGAGACAAACAGAGTAGCCACAGAAGCCAGACTACGCAGCTGAAACGAAAACAAAGAAATGAATCGAACACAAGCAAAACTTTGAAAACTCCTAAACCATTGATTGGAAATGTTGAATGAGAACCTTCATCCCAAAATTCGGGGTCCAAACAACAGCAGTTCCCATGGCTTTCGACAAGAACTCTTCCCTGGCTTCCTCAGCCAGCGCGCGGAGGCTGTTAGAACGAACACGGATCGATTAGTACAAGATATAAAATGTAGAATGTGGTTAGAAAACTTAAGGAAAGCTTATAGCGTACCCGGAGGTGTCATCAGCTATTGTCGCAGTCATTGGAAGACTATTGGCTTCCGTCATCCCGGTGGGAGCCGAGTTTAGCTATGAAAAACAAGTGTGCACTTGATGAATACAGTGTGGTCGACTTTTGGCCATTTGTTCGTTCGTTTTTTTGTTAGAATATAAAACGAAAATTCTTTTTTTCAATTATAAGAACTCATGCATATTTATAATATACAAATTGTAAAAAAAAAGTTGAGTTTACTAATATATATACATTTCTTAATATATTTTAAAATTTCTCCTCAAACTTTAGATAGCATCGAACAAACTTGAGTTTAGTAAAAAAGTTGAATGCAAACGCAATTGCAATCTAAAAAACAAAAAAATGTAAAATCAACTCTAAACGGAGTCAGAGTTGAACACAAATGCAAAGTTTTATGTGAAAATGTATTTGTTTTGTGAGATTGTTGGAAAGTAAATTTTTTGTGTGAGGTATATAGTATAGTGTAGGGAATATAAAAATAGCGAATGTGTGTAGTGTATTAGTTTTTTTTGGGAAAATGTGTAGGAAAATATAGGAGAAAGAACAAAGCTTAAGTGTTTTATTTGAAGGAAATATTTGTGACTTACACCAAGGATTTGGTTCCTCAAGTTCTCATTTTCCATCATGAGGTGGGTGAGTTTCTTCTGCAGGCTATCATTCTCTTCTCTTAACATCTTGTTTGCCGCCATTAGCCGCCTGTTTTCTGACATGAGATCGTCGTTTTCCTTCCTCTGCCTCTCGCGGCATCTGAAAATAATGAGGAGAGCCGAAATACTTATGTTAGACACGACATTTCTCTTGGCGCCATAAGTCAAGCTACAATGTCTCTTAGCACAAATATGATGTGAATGATGAACTTATAAAGGTTAAACTAATGCATTATCAAAATGAATGTTTATGTTAACATTACAATGGATATAAATCTACGACACACATGTAAAATAGATATGACAGTACATATTAATACTTTATACAAAATATTGTATCTGTTATTTTTACATATTATTTACAGTATTTTTATGTGCTGATTGAGACAATTAACGGGGTGCTGTAAATCCCCAATCAACACCGTAATCTAATAGGTTATTTTTTCAATCAGAGTTAGTACAAGACTTGAATTGAATTGGGATAACATTGATTAGCTCTTTATTGATAAGTTTTCGACAATTCAAATGAATCGCTACATAGGAAAAAAAATAATGTTAGAAGAGAAACTTCATTAATCTTTCTAGAGTAAGAACTTCATTTTGAACATTTATACTTCAGCAGGTTGTTCATAGGCTGTGTGTTTTTATTAAAACCTTCACAATTAAATTTAGTGTAATGTCGAATGACTGTAAAAACTAAAACTTCTTAACTGCAAGAAAACATCATAATAGTAACAAAATTCGGCTGCCAAAAGATTGAAAAATCATCGAATACAAACTTAGGAATCTATTTAATCTGTTGGTATGAAAGGCATGTCTTTAGATATGTTCACTGTGGCATCCATATTGAACATCAAACTTGTTTTAATATTATATGAACAAGTTGGAGTGATCATTGATATAGAAATGGAAATCAACTCGTCGATTCGTCTAGTAGTTTTTTCCATGGAAAGCTTATGAGAAGTGATCATTTGAATCAAAATAAAATTAGGGTTTTCTTAGTTTGGTGATATGTTGGCTTAATGGAAGATGAAAGAAACACTTGTTGTATGTAAAAAAAGTTTGCATTGCATCGGATTATACCTGTTAAGAAGAGATCTGAGGTTTCATCTCAAAACTAATGAGTGATGAGAGGAGTTGCCTTTGAGCTCCCAATATTTTTTTATTCGATGTGGAACAACATTTAACATGATCGAATCCTAATGTTTTTTTCTTCTACGGTCTACAGGAAAACTTGCAATTTATGCTTTTAAAGCTTGATTTATGCCGACTATCCAAGAATTTCAATGTGGAAATAAAAAATTCACACTCTAAAACTTCTCAGCTTTTATCAAATAGTTAAGATAATTTTAAAGATTTATCGAAAACTTACAACAGATTGTCAATTACACAGTAAATCAACATTGAAGATGTTGCCAAAAAAAAAATCTATGTTAGATTTTATTTTGTGGCACACACACATAGTCTAATTACAACATAAACATCAGTCCAAGATTTCCATGAAATCTGAAATGAAGCAAACAACATTGAAGAAATTAAACAATCTTGTCTGAATAAAAATAGTACTAATCTTTTGCTTGCTCATGAACAAATTAAGTGAAGTGAATTTCGATAATTACCTTCGATTCTGGAACCAGATTTTGAGCTGTTTAGTATCGATCCCCCTGAGAACCGATTGCTCGCGAAGAATCTGCGCCCTTCGCAGATGGTTGGGGTTAGGACACTGTGTGTATGCTGTCTCAAGAACATCGAGCTGCTGCTGCGTGTATCGCGCGTATTTGCCGCCATCTTCGTCGCCTTTCTTCGCCCCTTTGCCCTTTCTGATCGCTTCCATTTCACTTGTAGCTATTTCCGCTTCACACACAGATTTTTGGGCTGCATATATAGATGCATCATCAAAGCCACATTATTAGGGTTTTTTAGGGTTTTTTGTTTTCACATTAAAACATCGAATATTGGTGAGATCTGCTTAGCAAAAAAGTGTAATCATGGTGTGTAAATGTGTGTGAGATGAAGATTCGGATGAACATCAAAAAAGGGAAAGACATAAAATCAGAAAAAACAGTGGATTAGCTGCTTGCATTTGACAAGAATCCCTGCAGAAGAAGCACAAATCGAAACCCTAAATTAATTGTTCCAAGATCTGCAACCAACTTCAGCAATTTTCTGAAAAGTCGAAAGCATTAATCTTAGTTTTTATACAGCTAGGGCTTGGAGGAAATGGTGTGGAAACCTCGAATCTTTAAATCTCCATTAGAGCAGGACCTCATAAGGGTTTTGTTGGGTTGAATTTCTTATTGTCTGAAACCCAAACAAAATAAAAAAAAATAAAAAACATTAAAAACCCATTGAATCTGAATCTGAAATTGCACTTACAATTGCAGCATATTCCAATTTACTCACAACAATGATTCTCCAAACTTCTTTGGAAGAATCTTGTCCTCATAATAAATAAATATAATATATATATATATATTCCTCCATCCACCACAACTCTTGCCAAATTAGTTATTACCTAAATATTATTGCTAGGCCATTTCCAACCCATCAATTTTATTTATCCAGTTTTAACTCCAAATATATAGTTGCTGCTCTATTTTTCAACTTTTCATTTTTATAATTTAAAATAAATTTTTTTTAAAATTTAGAAAAATAAAAATTAAATTTAAAAATTAAAAAAACAATAGGAAGCAACACCATTTTTTGGTTTTGCTACAATGCAACACCAAAATTAGCGTTGCACTGTAACAACGCCAAAAAATAGCGCAGGATTTGGAGTCGGTTGTCTCCAATCGACGCCAAATCAACCAACCCAGCGTCATTACCGATGCCAAATCAACCATACTCACAATTTCCAGGTGCTTTCTGACACCCAAAACAATAATCTACCAGAAAACCCAAATCCTTCAGAGCAAGAAAAACATACACAAAACTAAAAATCTAAGTTTATTCGAAGGAGAGAGGCAATGCAAGAATCTGAGCACACACCTGAATGAATAATGCAGAATCTATAGAAAGGTTTCCATAAATTTTTGTATTTAGGCTGACAGTACATATATACAATTATATATATATATATTTAAATATGCATGTATGTGTATATATATATATATATGTAAATAAATTCACATACCATGTATATGCAAAATGGCATGAAGCAGTAATGGATAACACAGACACACCTAAATGTGTGAGAGACACTGATTTATTGCCCCCAAATATAATAAATCCTATCTGTAAGGTGTGTTTGTTTGGGGGTTTGGATTTTGAGTTGGGATTTGAATAGTAAAAATTTTGAATTTGAATAGTTGTATGATGTGATATAAATAGGTGATGATGTGATGTTTTAAATATAAAATTGATTTTTAGTATAATATAAAAAATGAAAAATAGGTGTTTGATTTGATATTTTTGGGGGGAAAATTTTGGATGAATAGTGGAATTTTATCCAAATCCATCAAACGAACACATAAGTTTGCCTTTTGTCCCTAATATTTCCCAAATTAAACCTACCCTTAATTCATTTCAAGCCTTTATTTTTCACCAAATCACCTAATTCATTGTTTCTAATTTGGTGTGGGAAATAAATAAATAAATAATGGCACACATTTTGTATTTTTTTAAAAAAAAATATTCAAAATTAAATCACACTGGTATTAATCACATCAATACTTAGATATATGTTATTAATTTCAGGTAAATAAATTGCCCTTTTAATTTTACTTTTTTAATCCAAGAGTTGTATGTATATTATGTTTTGATTTTAAAATTGTCATATATCATATTGTATTTGTGTTGCTAATTAATTAATATTCTTGGAAACTGTATAGAATTTTATTATTGAGCTCTTGAAAAAAATGTGACCAAAATACTTTCTTTCTTTTTTTTTTTCTTTTTTTTTTAATCCTCAATCACAGACTTTTTACACACTTTTTTCAATTTCTACACAAATTGAAAAAAAAAAAAAAAAAAAAAAAATTATCAATTTTAGGTTATTGAATTTGAAGAGTATTTATTTTTGCCTCATAAAGTAAAAACAAAAGAAAGTAAAGAAACTGATATAATTGGAATGCAACATTGAATTAAAATTTTCTAATAAATTTTATTTGTTATGATACATGGAAGACTTAAATTTTCATACCAAATTTTATATAGAATGTGAAAAATTAATGGACATTTTTAATTTGTTACTGTGAAGTGTGTGTATGTCTTTATTTTTCAATAAATATATTATGTATCCATTAAATAAGATGTTTTTAATGTAAGAAATTAATTAAGTTTAATCACTTCCCTTATCAATTGCTTGTTTAATGTTTATGCCTTTTAATTTCTATATGTTGTTCATTATTTTTGTGGAGTGTCACCAATTATTTTATTCCCCAAAATAATATCCCCATTTCCAATTAACTCATTTTTTATATTGCCCATGAATTATTTCATATAATTTTCTTGTATATGTTTATTCTCGTTTAATAATTTCTGTAAACATTTTTAAAAAAATTTATATTATATATATTCATATGGGTGTGTTTGGTATAAAGAAGGAAAATATAGAAAAATAATAGTAAAGAATGGAAATGCAGAGAAATAATAGGAGAATGAAATTGTATTTAGAAAAAAATTGAGGAGAGACTTGAGAAATGTAAAAAAAATAAAAAACATAAAGAGAATATTCTATATTGCTAATTAAAAAAAATAAATAAAATGGTCAATGAAAATTAATAAATTAGATAAAAATATATATATCATTGTACTTTTAATTATATTTTTAGTTTGATAATTATTTTAATAATAATTTAAATATGATATTTCATGAGATTTGTATAATATAAATACTCCCTCGGTCCCATAACAAAGTATCCATTTTTCCATTTTAATCCGTCCCATAACAAAGTATTCATTTCCTTTTTTCATAAGTGTACTATCTACCTAACAGATGTCCTTACAACTTACAATATATTACACAAATGTCATTACCTTTATATCACATATACTAACAAGGTTATTTTAGTCATTTATATTTTATTTCTACTATATCCCAATATAATACTAATATTTCTAAAACTAAGTGCAAAAAGCAAATGGATACTTCTTTTTAGACAGAAGGAGTATTATGAAATAATAAATAATAGTAAAAAAAATAAATAAACACAAATTAAATCGTAAAAGTTAAATGAAAAATAAAATAAAATAAATAAACACATTGAACTCTCTCTCTTTCATTTTTCTACATACATGAGATAAATGAAATTAGAGAATAGGAAATGATTTATTTCCCAACTCTCAATTATTTGTCTCAACCAAATAAAGGAAATGAGGATAATTTCATTTTTATGTTCCAATTTTTTTTTTTTGTACCAAACACTCTTTTAACGTAGTTATATACGCTAGATACAAGAATGTGTATAAATCCCCGGTGGTATATCAGGTAATATATTGGGTATGAATTTATAGTATATATATATATATAAAAGAAAAAAAAAAAAAACTTGATAACACATACTAAAATTTTATATAATGTATATTGTTTGTTATATTTTTATATATTAATAAAAATATTTATATGTATTGATTGGAACAATTAATATGGTACTAATAAATCAACAATCAACACCCAAACGAAAGCCATATAAATCTGTGTATGGTGAGGAAAAAATATAAGTATGGAATAAAAGAAAATTAATTCACATTCGATAGATATTTAATTCACATTCGATAATCTATCGAATGTGAATTAAATTTCTTTTAAGCAATATGCAATATGAAATATGTGTACAAGATATATTGTAAAGTTCAAATTGAAGCCTATCAAGTACTGTATATCCGGCCCCTATATAATTTATTGGGCCGTATGTTAGGATTTTTGAGTTACACTTGTATCTATATATATACTAGTAAATTAAAATATATAATTTCGTTGCCCTAGATATAGATCATTATAATCGAACTGCGTCACAAGATCCCTGCATTCTTAGTGTGATTTTTTGTTTTTCTTAATATTTTTGAATTTCTGCAATACAAAATGTGTTGTTCTATTGTGTAACTCTCCTTTAAATCTTATTATATAAATAATATGTCTTATTAACTTTTATCAAGAAAAAGCTATGTGAATAATAATAATAATAATAATAATAATAATAATGAAAAATAGTATCACTATTCGAGTATTGATTTGTTTGCGATTATGAAATTTATTTGAGAATTTTCAATTCATGCATTCTTATGACTTTCACTAATTTTGTTGAATGATGTAGTCCGTAAAGTCTCTTGGATAATCGATTATTTTGCAATCGATTATTTTGTGAGTGAAAATGCTAGCGGCGATGTACCAAATTAATCTAATTAATTTGAAAGAAATATTATTTATTTACTGTGTATGTAGTTTGGTTAATGTCTTTCTTTTGTAATATTTATGAGAAATTCTAACACAAAAAATAAGTCATATCAAAGTAAAAATTATTAACAAATATTAGATCAAATCATGAGAGATTAATTGGTCATTAAGACAATATATATATATATATATACATATATATATATAAGAACATATATACCCATTCATGGCTTGGCTTGTGCTTCTTCTTCATCAAAACCTTCTTCATCTAGTCAAATTGTAAGCTGTCTTCACTTCATTCATTTTCCACTCCATTAATAACTCTTTACACCATTATTCATGATAACTTAACATTATGGCTGAGACAGACTCTCAAGAGTGTCATCTTCTTTGAAGTATTTCACCTAACAAAACATTAAATTATATTATATTTTGCATATTTCAAATCTGCTTATTATTAATAATAAAATAGAAGGTCTGTTTATAAATAAAATATTTAACCCAGCTTATAAACTAAATATTTAAAATATCACAGCAAAATAGAAATAAAAATAAAATAAAATATACCTTAATTACCACTAAAGAAGAGATTCTTCGAATATTTCATCAAAGGGAATTTATTTAATATTTCTGTTGATTTTAAAATCACTTTACTCTTTCTTCGAATCAAATCATAAACTACAAAAGATGTGGTACCAAAATCAAGAGTGAATAATGAATATACACTCTCCATCATTGCACACCATCGACATCAACGGAAACTCCTCGCTGTCAAGATCCATCCATAGTACCCCATCAAACTCCCTCCATTGCATCCCACTCTCATTCGTCTCGAGCATTAGACACGGAACCAACAAATCATCGAACTCGATCCATTCGCCGCTAGTTTTCTTCCACACAACATGACACTCGTAGCTATCAACATCACCAAGGAGCATGCAAAATTGGCCGTGTGAATAATCTGCAAGATAATATGAAGTTCGGGTTCTCCATGATTGCCCTGGATTGTAAAAACATTTATAAAACTTGCCTTCCCTTAGGTCGAAGATAATTAGGTTATAACTATCGGTTTCTTCTTGGTATTCAAGTTGTTCTTTGCTCAAACAGATATGATCGTCCAAAAGGAAGCTTCTTATGTCATCTCCATCTTTTATCTCCATCGTTTTCGACTCGTTCCAATGCCCACTTTTGTTGTTAAACAATGTGTATTTTTCCAGTTCCAGATTGATAACTACTATTTTATAATCCTTTAATAATGAATCGAAACCAATGTCGCATGTGAAATCATACAAACCTTGAAAAAGAGATTCCAAATTTGTATACATTATGGCCCATGGATTCCAAAGAATGATCCTCAATTTTGCATCATTGGAAATGAAAGATATGGGTATTAGGCCATCACAGGATTCCCAAGTCCATTGAAGAAATTCTAAGGAGTTGAGCTCCATAAATGCCTTCAATTCATAATTTTCCAATTCAGAGAGGAAGAATGTATCGTGATAATGGGTACAAAAAAGAAGCTATGAATTGATCTTGGATTGATGGAGATGCGCAAGGGCAAGTTCCTATTGGAAATCGTTCGGTTCCATGACTTGGAGACTGATTTGAATCGAAAAAGAGATTTAACAGGAAGTCGCGTGAGGATAAGCTCTACAACGTCGTTGACTATATTTATCTTCGCAAGTGCTTCAACCATAATTATCTTGGATTTAGTAGTTGGGCAATGGTTGGTATTATGATTACCCAAACTCTATATAGGACAGAAATAACACTTGCACGCGTGTCGCACAGCTGCAAAATAAAGTATCAGTTCCTACGCCAGAAAAAAAAATTGCAAAATGCAGTAGTTCAATGAGTAGGGTCGTCTTCGCATGGAACAATAATAATATTGAATATTCGGTTATTTATAATTATACTATATATATAATGGAGGTTTATGATTTATCACACTAAATAAGGAGAAAATAAATTTTCTAAACTAAATAAAATAAAATAAAATGCAAGACGGATTACCAAAGATGATTAAACTCTAGCATATGCATGAATTTTATGTTCGGAATATAAATTTTGTTCATCGACTAAAAATCAAGGCATGAGACTGACTCACAAACACAACAAAACTCAAAGCACACAAAATAAAATTAAAACACTTGGGTTGCCTCCCAAGAAGCGCCTTTGTTTATTGCCGTTGGCTCGACACGACATCTCTTAAGCTAATCACGCGGCTCAAAAAGAGCTACGTACTCCACTTCTTTGCTCTGGAACCCTTCATAGTAAAGTTTAAGACGATGTCCATTCACAACAAACCTCTTTTCCGTGCTTAGACTTTGAATCTCAACTGCATAATATAGAAACACGTTAGTAATCCAAAACGGACCTATCCAACGAGAACAAAGCTTACCCGGAAAGAGCTTAAGGCGAGAATGATAAAGCAGAACCTTTTGACCAACCTTAAAATCCTTCCTCAAAATGTTTTGATCATGAAATTTCTTACTTTTTTTCTTTATAAATCACAACATTCTCGTAAGCTTCATTTCGAATCTCCTCCAACTCTTGCAACTGCAATTTCCTACATTCTCTAGTAAAGACTAACCAGTAGGGCGACATCCCGAGCGGAGTTTTATATGCAGTTCTGTATGCCCATAACGCATCCTCTAAGCGTAAACTTCAATCCTTCATATCTGGCCTCACCATTTTCTCTAGAATTCCCTTTATCTCCCGATTAGAAACCTCTGTCAGTTTGTTTGCGGATGATATGACGTTGAGACCTTTTGAAGAACTCCATACCTGCGAAACAATGCTGAAATGGTTTTGTTGCAAAAGTGTGTGCCCCGATCGCTTACAATTGACTTAGGCATTCCAAAGCGAGTGAAAATCAAGGACTTTAGGAACTCTGCAACAACCTTAGCATTGTTAGTTCGGGTGGACTTTGCTTCCACCCACTTCGACACATAATCAACATCAAGTATAATATACGAAAAGCCATGTGAAAGTGAAAATGGACCCATAAAATTCATACCCCACACATCGAATACCTCAACAAACAACATCGGTGTTAAAGGCATTTGATTTCTAGCAGAAATATTGCCTACTATTTGACATTTATCACATGCATTGCAAAATTCATAAGCATTCTTAAATAATGTAGGCCAATAAAATCCACTTTCGAGTACCTTTCTTGCAGTCCGTTGAGAGCCAAAATGACCTACACATTCTAGTGAATGACAAAACTTCAGAATGGATTCACACTCACTTTATTCGACACATCGTCGAATGACTTGGTCTGCACATCGTTTCCACAGGTATGGGTCATCCCAAACATAGTATTTTGCATCAGTTCTCAGCTTATCCTTCTTTGTTTTTTTCCATCTTTCAGGGAATTTATTAGTGGCCAAATAGTTCACTAAATCAGCATACCAAGGAGAAGAACAAGAAATCACAAGTAATTGCTCATCCAGAAAATACTCCCTCAAATGTAGTTCATCATGAACCATAGAAAGACGACTTAAATGGTCAACTACCAAATTTTCACTTCCCTTTTTATCTCGAATCTCCACATCAAATTCTTGTAGAAGTAATATCCATCGTATAAGCCTTGGTTTGCTTTCTTTCTTCGCCATTAGATACATCAAAGCTTCATGGCCTGAAAATACAATTACTTTAGTACCCAACAAGTAAGATCTAAATTTTTCTAAAGCAAAAACAACGGCTAAGAGTTCTTTTTCATTAGTGGAGTAGTTCAATTGGGCTCCATTGAGTGCTTTTGATGCATAGTAGATTGTCCATGAAATATTTCCACTTCTCTGTCCAAGTACAGCTCTCACTGCCGTGTCACTTGCATCACACATAATCTCAAAAGGTAAATCCCAATTTGGTGGTTGAATGATGGGCGGTGATGTCAACAACTCTTTAATCTTGTCAAATGCCTACTTACACTCTTCATCAAACTTAAATTGAACACCCTTTTGAACCGACGATAAAATCCTTCGAGAAAGCTTTAATGAACCGACGATAAAATCCTGCATGCCCTAAAAATGAACGCAAATCCCTCACCGAAATGGGATAGGGTAAGGCAGAGATAATATCAATTTTGGCTTTATCTACCTTTATTCCTTTTGATGAAACTAAATGTCCATGAACTATTCTCTTTTCTACCATAAATTGACATTTTTCCCAATTCAAAACTAACTTTGTCTCTCGACACCTTCTCAAGATCAAAACCAAATTATCTAAACAAGTATCAAAATTATTTTCATATACACTGAAATCATCCATGAAAACCTCAATAATCTTTCCTACATATTCAGAAAATATGTTTTCTATACACCGCTGAAATGTCGCAGGGGCATTGCACAAGCCAAATGGCATCCGCCTATAAGCAAAAGTGCCAAAGGGACAAGTGAATGTCGTCTTTTCTTGATCCTCCGGTGAAATCGCAATTTGGAAATAACCTGAAAAACCATCTAGAAAGCAATAATGAGATCTTCCCGCTAGTCTCTCAACCATTTGATCAATGAAAGGTAATGGAAAATGATCTTTCTTTGTGACTGAATTTAGCTTATGGTAGTCGATGCATTGACGCCAACCGGTTTGTTTCCGAACCGGGATCAACTTACCATAGTGGTCAACCTCAATCGTGACTCCCGCCTTCTTTGGGACAACATGAATTGGACTTACCCATTGACTATCCGAAATTGGATAGATGATATCGGCATCCAAGAGCTTCAAGATCTCTTTCTTTACGACTTCCATCAACTTCCATCATAGCAGGATTCAACCTCCTTTGAGCTTGCCTTATTAGCTTGGCATTTTCCTCAAGCACAATCTTGTGGGTGCAAAGAAATGGGCTAATCTCTTTTATATCAGCTAACGTCCACCCAATGGCTTCTTTGTGCTCTCTCAAAATTTGGATCAACTTCTCCTCTTGACTAGGAGACAATGTAGCAGATATGATCACCGGTAATGTCTCTCCAACTCCTAGGAAAGCATACTTCAAGTTCGAGGGCAATGGCTTCATCTCCAAAGCCGGTGCCTGCACAACAGATGACAACAACCCCTTATCAGATTTTGTTAAAGCTGAATTAACCACAACATACCTTAATGTTTCATGCGGCAAAGATTGCAAAGCCCGAATCATTTCCTCCAATGCACCACTCATTGGCACTTTATCCAAAGAGTTCATATCCAAATAGTTTGTGAGTGCAATCTCCAATTCATCCTTTCCACTCAAGTCAAAGACTTCCTGCACATTTTGAGTAAGAACATCTACACAACACAAAGTATTAGGCTCCACAGGATGTCCCATTGCATCAAAAATATTAAAATGAACCTTTACACGTTCGAACTCCATGGTCAGTGTCTCTGTTTTAACATCTATCTTTGTTTGTGCGGTGCACATAAAAGGTCGTCCAAGAAGAATAGGTGAAGGATTAGGTGAATTATCATAATGCATATCTAAAATGTAGAAATCAACTGGGAATATTAACTCATTCACTTACACAAGAACATAATCAATTATTTCTTCAGGGTAAGCGTTAGTTCTATCAGCTAGTTGAATTATTATCCCAGTTTCTTTCAAGGGCCCAATGTTCAAAGAGTTAAAAATAAACTTAGGCATAACATTTATGGCTGCACCTAAATCTAGCATAGCTCTTTTAATTTCCATTTTTGTGGCAATTTTCTTTGCAGCACAGTGGACACAGTCTCTCTAGCTAACATTTTTTCGTCCCCTCTCAACTTCTGTTTCTTGGTACACAAATTTCGCATAACGGGGGACTTGCTTAATTGCATCGAGCAAATGAATACTTAGCTCTACTTTCTTAATTATCTCCATGATCTCCTTGTCTTTATCGCTCTTAGCCGGTTTTGCTAACCTGTGAGAAAATGAAGCAACATTAGCATTTGATTGAATAGGAGGTTTAGAATTCACCTGATCAGTTGACTTGTTCGCTTCTTGCTCAATCTCCTCTTCAGTTTTCTCTTTTTGTGCAACAATCTTCAAACCTTCTAGCTCCTTACCACTTCGCAAGACCATTGAACTAACATTGCTCGGGTTCATGTGGGTTTGAACCGGTAGCTTGCCTTTCTCCCTCTCTTTCATATCCCTCACCTCTTTCACAAATTGAGACATTTGATCTTCCAAGTTTTTAATACTTGCTCTTGTCTCTTGTTGAAATTGCAAAACAAAAGAGGCAATAGTTTTAACCATATCGTGCAAGGAGTTACCAGGAATAGAAGCTTGAGACATGGTCCTTTGTGGTTGTTGTTGTGTATGTGGTTGAAAACCCGGTGGTTGTTGTTGTCCAAAGGATTGTTGATTCTGATTCCCATATCGAAAATTGGGGTGGTCTCGCCATCCTGGATTATATGTGTTTATATATGGATCATAAGCCCTTCTTTGTGCAAATCATGCATCATTCGCTTCCACCTTTTGTGTCAATGTAGGACAAACATCCGTAGGATGCTCAACACTCGCACAAATCCCACATGGCTTCACTTGAGCGTTCCCTACAGAAAGTTTTCTCACAAAAGCAATTAGCTCATTTAATTGTTGTTTCATATGAGAACTTACCTCGGCAACTTTTTTCACTCCCATGACATCCCTTGGCCCAAATTGTTGAGAGTTCATAGCCATGTCGTTCAGCAATTCCCAAGCTCCTCCACTGGCAGCATCGATTATCCTACTGTCAATAGAAGTTAGTCCTTCATAGAAATATTGGATTAGAAGTTGCTCAAAAATCTGATGTTGCGGACATCTAGCAATTAACTTATTAAATCGATCCCAATACTCATATAAAGACTCCCCTGATGTTTGTTTGATACCACAGATCTCTTTTCGAAAATTTTCAGCCCGGGATGCGGGAAAGAACCTTTCGAGGAACTTGCGCTTCATATCTATCCACGTGGTCACACTCTCGGCGGGCAAGTTGAATAACCAATCATTGGCTGCATCTTTCAAAGAGAATGGAAAAGCTCGAAGTTTTATCTGCTCCTCAGTGATTCCCGGTGGTTTCATGCTCGTGCACACCACATCAAACTTCTGCAAGTGCTTGTGTGGTTCCTCCCCTGCCAAGCCATGAAAAAACGGCAATAAATGGATTAATCCAGATTTAAGCTAAAATGCCGTATTATAGGCTATAGCAGAAAAAGTAATACACAAAGGATGTTGAATTAAATCGGGAGGAGCTAGCTCCCTCAGAGTTCTCTGTCCTTCCATTGGATGTGTCAGAACTTCTTCAACTTCCTTGGCTTCTTTACTTTCGTCGGAACTAGAACTGTCAGTCAGTTGGATAGCTAAGTCAGGTTTCGGCGACTCAATTTTTTTCTGTCCTCTTTCACTCTCTAGCTTCTTTCCTTAAACGGTGTGCAGTCCTTTCGATTTCTGAATCAAAAACTAATTCACTTGTACGACCAATTTGAGGCATAAATCATTAAGTGAAAATTAGAGCTAAATAAATAAAAGAAACAACTAAATATAAAAAATTCTTATACTGTTCCCCGGCAACGGTGCCAAAATTGCACGCGTGTCGCACAGCTGAAAAATAAAGTATCAGTTCCTACGCCACAAAAAAAAATTGCAAAATGCAGTAGTTCAGTGAGTAGGATCGTCTCAGCAGGGAACAATAATAATATTAAATATTCGTTTATTTATAATTATACTATATATATTGTAGACATTAAAAATAAAATATCTAAATTAAATTAAATATCATTTATTTTGGAAGAAAATAAAATTCCAATAATATAAATATATGGTATTTAATTATGCACATATGTTAATTTTTGTACAATAAATATCAACCATTAATACAAAAATATGCTTAAAATGGAAGATATCGTACAAATATTACGTGCATAAATAGAGCCATAATAAATTTGGCAGCAAAATAAATTAATCTTGTCAATAAATGAAGTATATAAATTAATATCTTCAAAAAAAGGCAATGATATAAAGATCTTGTCAATAAAAGAAGTATATAAATTAATATCTTCCAAAAAAGGCAATGATATAAAGATTTTGGCGAGAAAGGAAGGTGCACAATCAAATCCGTCAAAAATGGAAAACAACATCTGATGGAAAAGGAAAGATTATAAAATCTTTTCATCCACGTGGCACTATCCGAAAAGGAAGCCAAGGCTACCCTCCCCTATAAATAGGAGCCTTGGCCAATTCATTAGACACCGAAGTTCATTTGAAGACTCGCGCAAGGGTAAGTCTCTTTAGACTTTCTGCAATGTTCTTCATTGTTCTTCGTGTTCTTCGAAGCGTTCTTCGTCAAAAAGTCACCGATTTGGACAAATGATCCAATACTGGTTGGCAAATTGATGGAGTTAACGTTCTTCGTCGTATGTCCGAGCCGGAGGAAGGATCAAAGCTCTCAAAGCCATCGAGGAATCCATCAAAGCCAAGGAAGAGCCTTCAAAGTCGCTCCCAAAGATTCAAGATGTTCGTCGCGTTCTTCATAAAAGGCGCAAACCAGGCCCTCTTCGATCCAAAAGTCAAAGGGACATGCCGCCAAAAGCGTTATGGAGCACCAAATCCCTCCCTCAATGATCAAATTCCGTCGGATCATCCAAAGGAGTCATCAATCCAAAATCGACGATCAAAATCGCCAACACAAATACCAAAGTTTCCTAAAAGCCGGCGAAGTCAAACCGAAGACCAAAATCCCTTCGGATCAAAGAAGCCATCGAAAACCAAGTTGGAAAAATGGATCAACCCGGAGAGAGAATCAAAGGGTCCGAATAGAGAATAGGACCCGCATATATTTAAATCAAATGTAATTTGTACGATTCTGTGTTTATAAAAAAATTTAACACAATTTTTTTTGTTTACATATATAATGGGGGGTTTTGATTTATCACTCTACATAAGGAGAAAACAATTTTTCTCAACTAAATAAAATAAAACAAAATGAAAGGCGGATTACCAAAGATGATTAAATTCTAGCATAGACATGAATTTTCTATTCGGGATATAAATTTTGTTCATCAACTAAAAATCAAGTTCATTGACTAGTTGGATAAATTGGTTATAGTTGATCTACACGCGTCCACAACCAACCTTTTCTAACTTTGTCGATAGCTAAGGTACGACCGTTAGCTATTTCCCTAATCGAGTGAGAATTCCATGTACGACCGTAGCTTTACTGACTCAACAGCTTTAAATACTAGAAAGGCCCAATTCAATTAAACAAAATTTCTACGCGAATTTGTTTAAAATTGATTCTAATTCTTCCCTAGAGTATTCCTCTAGGTTGCTACACCAATTGGAAAATTACACAATTACGAGTGCCAATCTCCAATTTAGCTACGAAATCTCAAATCAATACCTGCACAATAATCAATTTAGGATTTCTAAACTTATAAATTAGAAGAATTAGAAATACCCAATATCGATGAACACCAAATTAAACAAAATCAAGTCTCACAAATTCAATCTCAAACATAAATCCACACCTACGCTAGAAATGAAATTACTCAAAATTCATAGAAATTGAAAACACAAAACAAATAAAGAAGTTCATCATGCCTTCAATTTTGAAATCGACAAAGAAGAACAATATGAAAATAGATTAAGAATGACCCGAAAAGTCGCATGCAATCCTCCTCCAAATTCTCCTCTCTTCCGTGCTCTTCTCTGTCCCTTTTTCTCTTTAAGAAAAATATGTCGTGGTAGTTCCGTTCTCTTCCCCTATTCAATTGCAAATCGTGTCTCTACAACTCCATCCCAAGATCCCCTTTTAAATAAATTTCCTTTGCACTTCAATCCTCACATATTTTTTATATTGTTAATTTACTTCGAAAGGCCTTTTTGTAAATTCCATATATCTCACATTGTGTTGCGTGATCACGCCTAAAGCCTTCGTACGTTCTGCTCAATATCTCCCAAATACACCCCAAAACATGTCAACTTCATGAAACCTATTATGCAATCAAAAGCACACCATAAGTTGCATATATACGAAATTTTGTATCTCAAAAGTCGTCCAAAACAAATAAAATACCATTATATACAACACATATCAACACTCAATCGAATGAAACCAAATATATATATATATATTGTACCAAAATTTGGATAAACGTTTATGCAATTCAAACGGAGTTTGATTATATGTTGATTCCGTATAATTCATTCTCATATATATCTACTGTGCGGATTTTGTTTGAAAATCTGATTTTTTTATTTAATTTTATTTTTTTAAAAAAAATCAATATGAACGGAATTATCCAAAATTCAAAATCCAAATCATAATATCCGAATCAAACCGAAAATTCCAAAATTGCATGTATTTTAAAAATTCACAATTTTGATTATTTTACTTATTTTTATACTTTTTATTAACATATTAAATATATTAATATATACTTATGTGTTTTATATTTTTATTAAAATATTAGTATATGTTTAATAATAATATATATTATATATTTTTGGACTTCAGAATAGTTTGAATTTTTAGTAGAGCTAGTTATATATCCTAGTACAAATGTCCACATTAATTATTAATTAGTGTATAATACAAATAATTATAAATCAAGATAAAATAACTAAATAATTTGTTTGAAATTAAAATAATTATAAATTATGTAATTTAAGATGTGATTAAATTATATAATTATTTTCAATAAAAAAGAGAAATTATGTGAGGTAGAAAAAAAAAACAAAAAAACAAAGAAAAAATGAACATTTTTTATAGACGAAAGAAATATTTATGTATCTTTGTCCAGTATACGGTGCTAAAGCTTAAAGCACTCTTTGGACGTTCAAATAAAAATAAAAATTTCATGGGTTCAAGATAAATGTAAGGGTAAATACCCATTTTCAATATATCCATTAATAACAATTTTTTATTTGTTAAATAATTTGAGATATTTCTATCTAATCACACCTAAGAATAATTGTACTGTTTTGTTAGTTAATTTAAGAATATTTGTTAGCTAATCATATAATTTCAAATATGTGATAATTGACAACAATAAATAATATCAAAAGAAGTTAATATTAAATGTGCTTGATTATAATTACAATAAACATAAAAAAAAAAAAAAAAACTATTAATATTTAAGTGCTCAATGATGATCATGTTGGTCTTCTCCAGGTTCCCCGGGGCGGAATCCAGATCACTTAGGGCACATGAGCATTTTTTTCTCATTATGGTGGACCAAGGACAGAAGCGCCCATTGCGGTTGTACGCCGGTATAGCCGAGTTGAGACATTCCTCCATCGATTGCAGTAATTCC